ATGCCAGGTAAACTCTTGCTGGAAAAAAACACAATTAGTATAATATTAATATTAAAGATGAAAATATAACTTAAAAAGCAGAATACTTACCGCAAACTGACGAAACCACATCTCCTGTTCGGCGGGAGGGAAGTGTGTGAACGTCGGATATCCCTTCTTGAGGTCCGAGTACATCATCCGGTTGATCCATGAGCTGATCTCATTTCCGGATCGGTTGAACCTATCAAAAAGGATAAAATTATTAATAATATAATAAATAAACACTTAAAGAAAAAAAAGACTCTTAATTACCATGTTTGGCCTCGTCCCGACGGATACTCGGTGAGATAGAGAAGATGCTCACGCCCGGGCTGTTGAACCAACTGTTCAACAGTCATCACTCCCGGAACAACTGGAGGATCGGGAATGTCCTGCGTCGGCGAGGAATCCTGAGAGCCCCGAGAGCGGCTCCCCGAACCACTAGAACCTCGTGGTAAGGAACGACGAACTCAAGCCAGACTCTGATCTCCAGTAGACCTATCAATTAAAAAAAAGTAAAAACAATTTTAATCACAAAAAAATAGTTTTAAACAGAAAAAAAATAGTTTTAATGATATTAAAATAGAAAATAGGTTTTAATCACAAAAAAGATTTTGAAATAGTTTATAAACACAAAAAAAAAAATAGGAAAATACTTATTTATTAAAAAATTGTTTTTAATCACAAAAAAGTTTCAGTAATATTAAAACAACCTTTTAATAAATAAGAAAAAGTGTTTTTTTATCACAAAAAAGTTTCAGTAATATTAAAAACCTTTTAATAAATAGGAAAACACTTTATTAATTAAAAAAACCTTATAATAAATATGAAAAATACTTTCTTAATAAAAAAATTGTTTTTAATCTTAAAAAAAAATTTCAGTAATATAAAAAACCTTTTAATAAATAGGAAAAATACTTTATTAATTAAAAAAATTGTTTTTAATCACAAATAAAGTTTCAGTAATATAAAAAACCCTTTAATAAATAGGAAAAATACTTTATTAATTAAAAAATTGTTTTTAATCACAAAAAACATTTCAGTATTATAAAAAACGTTTTAATAAATAGGAAAAATACTTTATTAATTAAAAAAAATTGGAAAAATACTTTATAAAAAAAACCTTTCAACAACAACAACATCACAATACACACAAACACCATCTAATTCCCCTATCTACCAATCACCCTAACAAAATCACTATCTAAAACATCTAAAATCCCTAAAACTAACTTCAAATCCTAAGCAAAACACCTAAGGATGATGGGGATTGAGGACTTACATGATTTGGGAATGAATTAGAGTGGGAGAGAG